TTCACTTCACTATAAAAGGATTATTTTCTAAGTAATATGCGTTTAATGCTGCAAAACCGATCAATGTGTGGCCAAACTTTGTTATATTATCACTGAGCCTACTTTGATTCAGTCTTTGGCAAATGCGCGCTGTCACTGAACTACGGAACGACCTTTTAAAAATACAAATCAATCAACGAGGATACTAAAAGGAACAAATGTTTCAATGGAATTTGAGATCACTTTTGAACAAGCTTTCATCCTATTAAAGATTCACCTGCCGGATTTTGCCGGATTTTTGTCTGTGAGAGCACAAAATATGTAATTTTTTTTACTAAATTTGTGAATAACTCAGCCTTTGTAATCGATACCTGTTGGACGTCTTGAACAAAGTTTTGTATTGTGATAAAATACAAATATTTGTTGAACATTATAGTCTTCTAAAACCTATAGTTTTTAAATATGTTATAAAACTGAAAAAAAAAATTGTTGAACAGTCATATTAAACGCTACGTATCTCAGAAACTAAGGAATATAGAGGATTTGTGTGTTCAGCAAAGATTTTTGTAGTAAAATTATCTACAACTTTGCTGAAGACACCACATACCTATCTTGTAAATGTAAAAAGTTAGATTTTGCAGCGCCACCTTTGGTGGAGTTCCGAACTAAAAGCTATCACTAGTCTTTGCGCCTTATGTTATGCAAAAACTCTTCTAAAGACATCAAAGTGAAAAAACCGACATTGAAGGCGCAAATAAAAAAGTTCGTGATATTGAGCATTCAAACCACTGTGCGACGGTTCCGTTTCTAATGGAAAGGTCGGCTATGGTATCACTGCTAGCGCATTAACCAGTATTAGTTCCTCCCTCCCTACATCTTGTTCCATCTTCAGTGCCGAAGCTTATGTCCTCATGAGAGCTTCCAACCAGGGGGACCCTATCCCTGTCAACCACATATAGATGCACCATAGCTCACATGATCTTGACATTTTTGGAAAATCTGACACTTTTGGACATACTGACAGCGGTAAAACTGACTGAGGCACGACAGAACAAGACAGCTTACTTTTGCACACTCGCATTGCAGTGCTGAATGCTAGAAAGAGTAGTCTGTTGCAGTCATCCTCCTTACCCACTATATTAATCACATTGATGTGAGCTCCGCCGAAATTCGTGATTGTTGCCCCCGTGCTTCCAACTTGAACCCTCCACAGTCTGAGAATCCAACTGTCATCTTTAGCGATTCAGCAAGCTGTCTCCGCGAAATGGACTCCAGTTCCATGCAGTGTTGGCAAAATCAGAAATCAATTGTTATTTTTCCGCTCTCATACGCTCGCAATATCACGCGTGATATTGGAACAAAATATCATGCTTGATATTGATTTTACAAGCTCCTTTGATATTGCGAGACTATTCACAACGTGCAAATATCAAGCTGAGATTTGAGTCGACACAAAAATGATTCCATTGCACATCGTTTTTTTAGAAAGAGAAAGCATAGTTTGCTATCTCTTTTTAATCTTCACCGATGGCAGACACAAAGGGACTGCTGCAAGCCATTATGGAAGTTTCGGTTGCATTCGGGTGTAAAGCAAAAATAATTAATCTCAATCTCACCACAGTTTGGTAAGATTTGCAATTGGTGAGTTTGGTTAGCTTGATATTCCGAGCTGCGATATCACAGCTTACAAAATCAACCGTAGTTGTTTGCTTGTTGATTTTTGTCTACGAAAATCAAGTGTGATCTTGGGCGTTGGTGAGATTTGATTTTTTGATATTTTCCCAACACTGGTTCCATGAAACATCTTTGGCTCATGTCAGTAGAAACATCCTCCATAGCTAATCACGTCTCCTTCTGTTGGGTCCCAGGTCACTCTGGTATCCGAGGCAATGAGGAGGCGGACCGATTGGCTGGCGCTGGTCGAGAAATGAATCCCGAAACAGTTGATGTTCCTTCTATGGACGTTGTCAGATGGGTAAAGGACCAAATCAGGGAAAGCTGGGATCTTGAATGGTTCAATAGCCGAGGTTTCGCCCTAAGAAGAATCAAACAGTCTACATCTCGTTGGCCAGATAATAAAAACCCCAAAGACCGCCGTATTCTTTCCAGACTTAGAATTGGTGCTACCCGTCTTACCCATAGCTACCGAATTACCAAAGAGGAACCTCCAAACTGCATCACATGCGGTGTCCCACTGTCCATCCCCACCTTTTGTTAGATTGTAGAGCCTACAGTACCGAACGTTTGACTTATAATCTAGATACAACCATAGAGGAAGTTTTATCACCACCCACTGAACAGAAGCTGCTGGAGTTCTTGAAAGCGTTCGTATTAGTTGCGATGCACCCGTTCAACGGCAAACAACGAGGAAACCCGAGGCAAATGTACGAGGAAACCCGAGGTGTGCTGAAGGTGTGCCGAGAAAATGTGATCCGTGATGCCGTCACTGAACAAGCCAAGAGCAGACAGTCCTGGCCATGGTATGTCGTCTACGCATCATTATCACCAACAACCAAGTAACAAAACGGCCCTTTTCAGGGCCACCAAGTTCATTTGAGAAAAGAGTTAGAGTAGAATTTTTAAAGAACTACAAAAATAGTTTTCACCATTAAGTCAAGGCTGTTCCATTGATAGTAAGCTAGAAATTTGGAAGAGTGGATGGAACGCTTTGGAACGCATATTTTGGTCAAAATAAGTCACAAGAAATCATTCAGTATCACTCAGTTTTTTCGTAGAAATTTTTGATTAATAGTATTTTCTTGCAGGCTTTCTTGTTAAAATGGAGGGAATTTTTATGCATTTTTTATGCAGAATATGCAAAATGAGAGGGATTTCAAATGTTAATCCTCGCTCCCCCATTAAATGCTACAGAGTGTCATCAAAATACATGGAATGTTGAGATATTGAGATCGTGAGAGTGAATTTTCTCTTTCAAATTTGAATGTTTTTGCTCTCTGGGGATTGGTAGTAAAGCGGTTAAAAAATGTATAGGAAAAAACCTTTTTTATTTAATTCTAGCTTATTTAACAAAAATTTCCAGGAAAAAAAAACTGAACGACAAAGTCCATAAACGATTTCTTTAGGTTGTCGTCAACTTTTTTTGGAAAGCTATGTGAAATTCACATGGATTTCATGCATTACATATGTGATATACTTTTTGAGTGTATCCCCTGTTTCCAAGTTTGGTTACAAGATAACAACTCTGGAGAGCATTTTGTGTGGTCGTTGGGAGCGTTTAGTTCTGAATATGGCGATGAGTGTGCAAAGTATTACGCAATTCAATCCTCCCTATTCGCACGCGCCCTAGGATCGGAGGGCGAATGTCACTTCGACTTGTTTCGTCTATTTACTACTCTTTGACGATTGTGCTGGGGAAGCAGCATATGCATGTAGGTAATTGGTGGATTTGTTAGTTAATTCGACGCTTTTGGACAATGCTGGACATTTACCAGTATTTCAATAGTTTTTTGTTAAACATAAACAGCCAAAAGCATTGATATCGATGCGTAGTCATATTTCTGATCGATTGCTGATAAAATCATTGAAATTGGCCCAGGGGCAGCTGAGTTATTAACGTGCAAAATCTTTCATAATTTGTTACATGTTCCATTTTCGGTTTTCACAAAGTGTACCCTCATATAGAAATCACAGACGTAGTCCTACGTAAAAAAATACACACTGATATTAAAATCACAAAAAAAAAACACATATCCCTCAGGGCAAGAGGAAAACAAACCCGCGATACCCGTTAGAGATGTCTTGGCGAGCCGAAACCTCGACTATTTGAATTCAATTTATGTGTTTTTAAAACGGATAGATCTAAGAATTTAGTAGTTAGTGTTATCTTGTGTTCTCCCAAGTTGTTAGATGCCCATCGGTGTACCCCCATGTTTGTCAATTCCATCAGTGTCGTTCGAGATCAAGAGCACATTGCTCTCCAAACCTTGTGTTCTCAATCCCTACCCTGCCATCCATTTGTTACAATTTGTTACCCCTAACCTCGAGATAGGCGCGAGTAATCGGCCCCCGCTTTACTAACGTTAGTTTTAAGTAATTTTGTAATCTAAACAATGAATATCGGCTCCACAAAGCTACAGAAAATAAGCATGGAAAAATAAACGAATTATAAAAAAATAAAAATCACAAAATGTTAAAATCTTAAATAAGAAGAACATTTTTATATATGAAATTTTTGTTCACGCATTATTTTTGTGATTTGTGCATCGAAAACGATTTTCTGATCTAACATTTATTTTTTGCATAAAAAATTTAAAAAAAATGTGGAAAAAAGCTCTAAATTTGTACTAATAGTTGATGTTCTACGATTTTGTTCAATTTTAAAGAGTCACCATTATGGCCATTGTATAAAAGTTAGCATTTTTAATTAGCTTTCAAATAAACATATGTTTAAAAATCTTTAAAATGCACTGTTTCTGCTACTGAAATTGGTTTTGTTATATTTTCAGTATGTATATTTATTTTCTTGAAAAGTAATCCACTATCCTTCAATTTCGTCTCAGACGTCATTTCGATTAGACGAATCGTTTTCATGCTAAGATTTATCGAACAATTTCGAATACGCCATTTTGAAAAATTAGGCGTGGGTCAAAATGGTTTCAGTTGGCGAGAAACTGCTCAGTGGTGAACACATGAATCAGCGAATTGATACATACTTTAAATATGTTCTTGACTCTTTGAAATTTGATTCATTATGATTCTGGCATGATCTCCATGTTTCTTCATTAAACTCTGAAACCTTTAAGGGTTCTGTTTCAACCCGGTTACAGAGTCTGTTAATTCACTGAAACTTTGCTGCGTCTTGGAGCCCATGCATTAATTATGTCACGCTAAATCGAGCAAAAAATTACCCCCTCCCCCCTATCGTGACGTTTTTCTTATACCTAATGCATTGCTTGTCACAAAATCATAGACTCCCCCCCCCTCCTCTCTTAGAGCGTGACATAATATATATATATATATATATATGCATCAACCCTCGATCAAAATCGCATTTAAGCGCGGTGCTTAATGCATCCGAATCTGATACGTTGCGGTAAATCCACAAGATTAACAAATAGATTAATCTGTCACTTTGCTGCAACTTATCAAATATGGATACATGTTGCATCGCCCTTTAAGATGGGCGGTATTCAGGTTATTGAAAAAACACACCTCTTTGAAGATAGGTACCGCCCGTAGCCACTCAAAACGAAAAATCCAGATCCACTTCAGCGGCATTCGCAACCTACTCAAATATCTTTACCACTACTGTGAAGTAGCAATAGCATGCTTCAATGAAACCCATCACATACCGGTCCGTCATCACTGACCTGAATCAAGAAAAACAAAGTCATAAAATTCCTGCCTGAAAACCTACTCAATATTTCACAACGCCACCATCCTCAGCACCGTTAACCGGTGCGGTTTCGTTCAGCCGGGCTTGAATTTCCGGCAAGCTAAGCCCTTTGGTTTCCACCACAAACACGTAGGTGAACACGAATGCCATCGCGCAGCAGATGGCAAAGATCCAGAACAACCAATGCGATCCCAGCGCCACGTCCAGCGCGGAAAAGTAGAACAGAATGAAGAAGGACGTCGTCCAGCAGATGGACGACACGACGGAGGATGCCAACGATTTGATGTTAGGAGCGAACATCTCACCAAGCAGGACCCAAGCTATCGGGCCAAATCCAGTGCAGAACATGACACAGAATGCTACCAGCGATACGACCGGTAGAAAGGATAGACTCCCTGCAGCTTTCGATCCCGAATCGTCCAAATAGAAGTACGCTCCCAGTGCGGAAAGCGAACAGCACATCCCGGCCGCTGAGACTAACAATGTAGGCCTTCGTCCTACCCTGTCGACGATCAAGGCCGTCACTACGCTGGCCACCACCTGGAAAACTCCGATTATGATCGCATTCAACTCTGCCGGGAGTCCACTTCCGGTCTTTTCGAAGATGGTCTGTGCAAAGAACTGCACCGGATTGATCCCGGATAATTGCTGAAATACCACCACCCCGGTGCATATGGTCAACGCTCGAAAGTTAGCGTGATTACGGAACAAGTCCTTCAGCGATCCTCGATTGCGCATCGATTCTTCTACGGAGAACTGTATCGAGTTGTATTCAGCTTGCAGCTCGCCGATGGGTTTCCCTCGGATGTACGCCAGGGAACGTGCCGCAGCCGGGTAGTTCCCTTTCGATACATAGAAGTGCGGAGTTTCCGGCATGTGGATGAACGTTAGGATGAAGGCCACCGGCAGCGACATCTGGATCCACTGGAATGCAGCGTAGCTGACGTACGGTCCGATGACGTAGTCAAACAGGAGCCCTAGCGTGATGTAGGTTTGGACGAGCGATCCAAGGGCTCCCCTTCGATTAACGGTGGCAATTTCGGCGACGTACATCGGGGTAATGGTGATGGCAAATCCGATGCCACAACCCTGGACGAAGCGTCCTACGAGGATCTGCGCAACGCTAGTTGCCGTCAGGAAGAGCACGTAGGCGCTCAGATAGAATGCTGCACTGGTTAGCATGGCCATCTTACGACCGAAACGGTACGCTATCAGTCCAGCGAATGTGGGACCTGCAAAGTTTGGTGAGTTCAGTGCTTCGTACGGGGACAGTATTGGAAGCTGTAGTACGTACCGGTCAGTGATCCCAGCGTCAAGATGGATCCTATCCAGGATAGCTCTGTCGCGGTTGGAATCGTTGACAGCGGAGATTCGGCGGGGTTTTTGAGCTTCGACTCTACGGGTGATGTCCAGGCCATGCTGGCGCCCATACAGGCGATGGCGAGATTCGCTGTGGGTGGTAATGATTCTGTAACTTTCCGCATCGTTAAGTCACATATGGGGATTTTTTTTACTATCGGAAAGGTTTCCGCCGATGGACCCGATAATACAAAAAACAATCCCCATATTGATTCATCAAAAGTTTCTTTCCGGTGAATGGAGATCATATGATAGGTCCGTGACATTATGAATGCTAACTGATTACAAGCGCTTCGTTACAGCTTGACCTAATATTTTCCTAAATCTGGTTTTATCATGCATCTCAGTATGGTCCTCTGTAATTAGTTATTCGTTATCTACGTGAAAAGTTTATTGCATCGAGTCCACTGTCAGATAACACACCGTCATCATCTGCTAATGTGCAATCAAACGCAAAAATTGACAGATGAACCAAACACTAACACAAATTCAAAACACTTATCCGTCCTACATTATCAGCTCCCGCTGGCCGTGACCTTTCCCAGTTAAAAAAAAATTCGTTAGCAAAAAATCACATCTTACGCTTCGACCTTGATAGCGATTAGAATAACCCATTTCAATTACCAACAAGAGCCGCCACATACTGTCTCTTCTTTCGGATGGCATTTTGCACTAGGTGAATCATCTCGAACTTCACTATCGCTCCCACTAGTTGCAGTTGTCAAAACTATCACTTATCTCAGTGAACCGCACACGCGTGACTGTTTGGGTTGGTAGCTATCACTAATTACGAAAACAAACAGCAACTAGATGCTGCATCACTCATCCGTTGCGGAACTGGTTCTAGCTCGAAACCGTACTAGACTATAGGTTACGCTACAGTTGCGACGTATGAAACCCTGACAGCGTCTGTCTTTGGTCAATAACACCGGACGGTCAATTTATACGAATACGACAGCTGTAACGTGCTTTACGACAGACATTCGCTTTATTGCACCCTGCTCGTGTTGGAATGAGCTTGCTAATTGAATCGATACTGGACTGCTCACTCAAGAGCCACCTAATCTGCGCGTCGTAGTCGTCCTTCGTCGCTGGACGACCGAAACTAACTGATATGGATGATCCCAAATTCTTCGCTTTCTTCTGTCCGGCTAATCTAAGCTGAGGGGGTTAAAGGGAAAGGGGTGTAAGTGACTTTAATCGATTCTCTTCATCGACTTTCACTACCTTTCATAGCCACGGTTTTATAGATAGATTTTACACTATTTCTGCCACATAGTTTGATGAAGGAGGTTCTCATCTAGCATCCAGAATGGCACACGAATCAAGGAATGTGTTTGCAGCTGAATTATTAACGAAAGAGAAAGTCGATGAAGAGAATCGATCAAAGTCGCTTACACCCCTTTCCTTCTAACCCCCCTCAGCTGTGAGCAGAAGGAGCTTTTTGCAATTACAGTCATTAGATTATAGGATGAACAGTGAGCTGCAAAATCAATCGACAACGTGCTTCACCCGTCAATCAAAGCCAAGCACGCTCGCTATCAGAGAGACGCCGCGGCGGTTGCGCGCGGTTTCTCTTTCGATGAAGTGTGTGCGATGTTTTGCTTGGCAAATGGTGGTAAACGGGAATGCATAACGGTAGGCGCAATGAGCTTTTGAAATTTTGACTGTGGATAGAATTTGTGATAATGCGACCTATTACGTATTACCATTGGCGTAGGAAATGGGGGTGCAGGGTGTACTATGCACCCCATGAGAATGAACCTGATTTTAAATTTTCTGATTTTGGTATACGGATATGCATAAAGGTCTTCAGATTGAATACATCTGTAACCCTGTTGGGAATATTTTGAAGGCATTTAAATCTCAATTAAGCCAACTTTTTTTAGAGACCAGTGCCAGTGAAGTTCTTCGCATTTCAAGCTTATTGCATATTAGCTTATTGCGTGCTCTCAACTTAGTGTTCTAGATGTACTTCCACAGTTATTAATTGAGAGCTTTCGATGCCTGTACCATTTCTGCATTAGTATAATTGTGTGGCAAGTACAATCATACTCTATGCCCAGGGAAGTCGAAAAAATTTCCAACCCGAAAATTTCCTAGACCAGACCGGGAATCGAACCCAGCCACCTCCAGCATGGTTTTGCTTTGTAGCTGCGCCTTTACCGACTGAGCTAAGGAAGGCCCCAGTGCCAGTGCTGTCATGATAAATCAGAGATGAACCAGCCGACGGCTGAAAGTCTCGTTATTAAAGAAAGATAAGATAAGTCATGGTAAATTGATTACTCAATAATTTTCCATATGAGCGCCCGACATTCTAAAATCAATCCGCCCCCTAAGGAGTCACCATAATTGTAATTTGGGAATCTATATACAATTTAGTTCCCTCTAACTAAACTAGGGTACGGGTAAAACTTGTGAAACTAAAGTTCTGCCCGGCAACAACTTAGCAGCACGAGACTCTTCGAACTGTGTCTCAGGAGTCGGCGCACTACTGGGTAAACTGGAGGTGCTACGCGGACTAAAAGGCACTCAAGCTTTCAAATTAATCGAAACACAGAGCGGATCAACTTAAACACTGTATTTCTTCAAATTACCACTATAGCACTATGGTGTGGATTGTGTGGTGTGGCCGATATTCTGGCACATACATTTGACGACGATGACGGCTACGACGACTGCAGTCCAGCGAGCGCGCGCTGTGCTTCCGGAACGATTCCGCCAATGGCGGACAATGAAAGGCCGATCTTGTCGGCAAGATGTCGGTACCACCGCTCGTTGACATTCCGGAACAATTCAGGCAATGGCGGATGATGCAAGGCTGACCTTGTTGGATAGATGGCGGTACCATTTACTAGTCTATTGGTGCCTACACCGAGATGACGGTCGGACAAGCGCGTCTACCGTACGTCGGCTGTAGTGAGATGGGGGTTGGTTTTACCGGGGTAGTGATAAGCTGGTATAGTGGTTTGTGGAGATGGTTCAGGTGCACAGGCGCTTTTTTCTGACGATGCCGGTCGACGACGGCAAGGTCTCCCTCTTTCGAACCGGGAAGGGGAGTTCTCCTTTACTTTTAAGGCCTTCAGCCCTAGACCGATGTCCTCCTTGGTGATGATGAAACGAAGCCAGAGGAACGATAGTCCTTTACGTTTAGGTCAAGGCAACTAAAACTTCGAGCGTACAATGGTGATCCTTAACTCACCAACCGGATAGCGATTTGATTGAAAGAAAAGGTTCTGAATCGGGAGAATTGGTGATTTACACTTCACCATGATTGAGGGGGGCGACACATCTAAATATCAATTCTAGATGCTCAACAAATCTCACACTAGTGACTCAATCTTCGAAAAATCTTCGTTCATTTCTCACAGCTACTTGCATCAGGCATCATATTTTTGCAGGAAATCTCCAGAATCGTCATCAATCTTCTTTCTATCTACTCAGTGTGCGCGCAGCTAACCACAGCAAAACACAATTTTTCCTGTATCGTAGATAGAGTCGCCCCCCTCGACCTTGATTCACCACTCGCACTTGGTAGGATTCTGTTATAATTTTACTCCACAGACACTTCTGGTCTAAACGCTCGCCTGAGGTAAAGTAAACGATGGCCGTTCCTTAACAGAACAGAACGGTTACAAAGTCTATAAGAACGCATAATATAAATATTTACATCCATTCTTCTCCAAAACAAAAGATGCACTCCTAGCGAATCCATGGTCATCCGTTTGCTGAAGTGAATCTTAGGTCGTTCGCAATGCTGAGTTTCAAAATTGTTTCGAACTACTCGACAGTTCTAAAATTTGAAACTGTCAAAAGCGCAACGCTGGTTTGATTCGGTTATTTGTAATCCAGCATCAGGTAACGAGTTCGAACCACGAGAAGAGATCCTGGCCGATTCGGCTGTCAAAACATGTAAAGAAAGTATTATTATTTATGGAGATCACTGATCACCGGATGGTCTTTGAAACAATTTCTGAGCAACCTGGTATCACAAACGAAGTGACAGACGACTAACTGGCGAAAAAATCCATTTAAATAATGTGGTTCACTGTAATAGAATTTTCTTGGAAGCTTGTGCCATCATCCACCAGATGGGTTAGTTTTTTTGTTTTGATTTGAACAAAGTTGATTTTGTGTACAATGATTCTTTGACAGTGTGCAAAGAGTGCGTATCATTTTGTCATTTTTTATGCATTTCAGTTTTGAGTAGAGTGAAAGAGATAGAACCAAAACATTCTAGTACATTTGGTGAAAATGCTAGTTCAATCAACAATCAATACGAAACTAACGATTTTAAATTGGCTCACCACTTTAGTAGCCTATTGGTCCCAAGCAAACGATTAACGTACCCTATTCTAGTTGAAATTCTATTACTACACTATATTTGTTTTGATTCGCTATGAAAGTTTGACAGATAACATCAGGGGTGTGTGGATTCATGCAGAACATGCAGGGGTGAGTGAAATAGCTTGGGACTGCTTGGGACCGTTGTTCTGGTACTGAGTGAGCCAAAAATAATAATGATTTTCTTCGGGACCCAGTGGTCTTAGAGTTACCTCTATGGTAGTAGTGTTGCTATGTGGTACAATCCAGCAGTAGTGGTGTTGCCATGTGGTACACTGAAAAATTGCAATAGCAGCTTAGTCACCAAAGTTTTCGAGCCGCTCCGTCTGTCACTTCGTTTGTGCTGGTATCGTGGGTGAATATCTGAGAGACGTGATTTAAATTGTTGGGCAGATTAAGATCTTCAGAATTATACCAATAATCAATACGAAACTAACGATTTTAAATTGGCTTACTACTTGACTAGCCTATTGGTCCCAAGCAAATCGATTAACGTACCCCATTCTAGTCGAAATTCTAGTACTACGCAATGTTTGTTTTGATTCGCTATGAAAATTTGACAGATAAAATGAGGGGTTATTGGTTTTTCCTATGTTTCGAGGGGTGAATCGATTAGCTTGGGACCGAAGAGAGTACCAGAGCTGAGCCAAAAAGTTGAGCACGTTATTTCGTGACCTTCTAGTCTTAGAGTTACCTCTATGATTATACTATGATTATACGAAACAAACGATTTTAAATTGGCTCACTACTTGACTAGCCTATTGGTCCCAAGCAAACGATTAACGTACCCCATTCTAGTCGAAGTTCTAGTACTACGCAATGTTTGTTTTGATTCGCTATGAAAGTTTGACAGATAAAATGAGGGGTTATTGGTTTTTCCTATGTTTCGAGGGGTGAATCGATTAGCTTGAGACCGAAGAGAGTACCAGAGCTGAGCCAAAAAGTTGAGCACGTTTCTTCGGGACCTACTTGTGTTAGAGTTACCTCTATGGTTGTATTGCGAGTGATTGGTGATGGAAAGTGGTCGCAGTCCATGTTTCTCTGCTGAGACCCCTCTTGTTGGAATAGCTAGAATGTGGGTTTCCGCAATTGTGTGAGGAAGAAAAGGCGAGAGTGCTGTTTTAACACCGGTTGAAGAAGTAATGGCAGCATATCTATGGGAGCTCTTCGAAATCATCATGATGTCACGGATTCCTTTGCAACATATCGGGTGCGATCTTTCCTTTATTTTTCTCATAACTTTCATTCCATTATTATATGAACCATTAGATACTAAGTACGGGAGTGTCCGATCGAAGCCAATTGGATGATGCGGGTGGGCTCTTCTCCCCCACTCATTGGGGCATTCTCCTGTATGATGGCCCTTTTTTACCGGTTGTATGATCCTGTTGTTAGAAGGAGGTACTCATTTATCCCGTGGATGCTCGTCGGCGATCTTGCCCACGGATTCACCCAACTAGAGGTTATTAAACTTTATAAGACTGCTTTATATGCCCCGGAACCGCTGAGTTCCTGAAGGGAACCCCCTAAACCCCAAGCTGCTGGTCTTGACCAACGGCAGCTTCCAGGGATGGCACTCAATACCTTTGTAGGTTCCGGGTCTCAGGGCGTATAGGCGTGGGAGACTTTTCGGACACGGTAGAACCTAACCAACACTATGTAAACGGTTAAATACTTGTTTATTAGATTTGACGGTACATTGCGGGCGGTGGGCGGCGATGGTGATGGTTCGGAGGGGGCGCTGGTCCAGAGGACGCCGGTACAGTGCGGGCGGTGGGTGCCGATGGCAACGGTGCAGGTGAGACTTTGGGGTGAAGTGGAGATGAACGTGATGGCGGCCACTACATGGGCCGAGCCAATGGCCACGACCAGGGCGATCGCTTGGTGCCGGCGAAGCTAGTAGGACTTCGCGGGGTACTCGGTGACGCAGTGACCAGTGGTATTTCTCGTCCGTATCTCGGTAGCAACCCACACAAAGGCGGTGCTATTGTGGTGGCTGACCGGTGGGGACGCCACTGGACAGGGCTTGGCACTAGTAATAGTCAAGACAATGGCGGCGGTGATGGAGGTTGACTGGTTGCCTGAGGCCAGATGCGGGCTGGATCCCCGGCAGCGTAGGTGCTCGTTAGCGTTACCGACGCGATAGATGTTGCTTGGCGGAGCAGGCAGGGAAGGTCATCCAACACAGCTTTTTCCAAGGCCGTTCGCGGTAAGGCAAAGCCACGACGTCGAGGTGGCAGAAATTGGTCACTTAAGGCCCAAGCGCAATGACGGCGGAAGCGGCAACGGCAACGGCAGCGGAAAAGCCCGATCTGAGTAAGCCTACTTGTCGGATTGAAAACTAGTTAGAATCAAATCGACTTCGGTTAGGCATCTTGATGTCATAAGTGACAACTGTCAAACTTTCCGTTCCGCTTCCGCCCACATTGCGTTTGGGCCTTTAGACTCTTCGTCCGTAAACTACACGAACAAGGTTCACTCCGTGATCTCCTTTCTGTAGCTCGATCCCGGCTGCCTTCGCACCGTTGTCGTTCTCTGCTCCCGATCATGCGCTCACTGGCTCTCCTCTGAGAGAGTTTCCCTTCATTCAGGTTCAGTGGATATCCATCCACCCACCATTAGCACTCACACATTAGCTGTTCGGTCACTCTTCTGATCTTAGCCGCCCGCGCATTCAAACTTGCCGTTACAAATCGGAATAAATCAATTCCCTAATATAAACATTCTTTCTCTTCCGTGTCATTTAATTTTTAAGTCAGCAATGTTACCCGCCGGTAACAACTTAATCAAGTCGAACAGCGAGGATAGTCCACAGTCTACTGACACTTGTCCTACTACAGTGAGTGTCATATAATCATCATGTTTGATTATGTCCTATTCTCCGGGGACACCTTTGCAATATCTTGAAAGGCCATTTTATTTGATGTGATGGGTTTGGCCCTAAATCAGGAACTGGCCACTTCCCTGGCGTCACCTAGAACACATCCAGATGTGCCCAATGTGGTCCAGGGCACTTGATATGTCTGGCATAAAACATGCTTTTGAATTCTCATGTGTTTAAAGGTGTCGCATGGCTTTGGTCCGAGTCAGACTAGCTGCTTCCTCGGGGGCAGCCAGAACATGCCCTGATGTAGCCAATATGAAGCAGTATGACATGGTCGATCGTCAAATGTAGTTCCGGATGTCTTGTCAAAATCGATTGACGCCTTGGAGATCACCAACCGAATGAACTGGTACAGAGGAATATGTGGATTTCAAGATCATGGATGCCTTGATCTTGAAATCCGCATAATCATCTGTACCACTCCATTCGGTTGGTGATCTCAAAGGCTTCAATCGATGCTGTATAAGTTCGCGGCAGATTCGACTAAGGAAGATGATTTTTTAAGAGGAGCGCGAAGCTGCGATGCATCGAGGTTTCGAATATTCTGCGTTTGAAGTGCCTCGGACCTCTATAGACTGCAAGAACTACATCACGTAACCAAAGCCATTTTGATTGAAATGCATAGTAATTATCAAAACAGGTTACAAAAATGAAGATCATAACAACATGGCAAATAAATCCTTTTGAACAAAAAATTAAAAATGAATTCAAACTCAAGTTAGGTTTTACAACATTTATTCACCATATAAAACAAAAACATCTATTCCTTGATACTTAAACTAATAAGAAAGTATGCATAGTCATTAAAAGGGAACATAAATAGGACCAAAGTGCTTATATCTGAATACACCCTATCATTACTTATTTCTAATCGCAATGAATAATATTCACTTTAAATCACTTAGTGCACCCTACTCGTTCAGCTTATCCTGAATCTGCTGCAGACTCATGCCCTTGGTTTCCATCACGGTGGTCAGCGTGAACACGAACGCCACCCCGCAGAACACTCCGAAGATCCAGAACGACCAATGAGATCCGACGGCATCGTCCAGCGTCGAGAAGAACTGCAACACCAGGAAGCCCAGCACCCAGCAGGTGGAGGCCACGATCGACGAGGCAGCCGATTTCACGTTCGCCGGGAACATTTCACCCAACACGGCCCACGGTAGCGGTCCGAAGCCCACACAGTACACGGTGACGAAGAAGATCAGTGAGAAGATCGGCAACCAGCTTATACTTTCCAAAGATTCCGATTTGATGTAATCCATGTAGAAGTACAATCCCATGGTTCCATGGGCAATGCACATTCCTGCGGCAGAAGCCAGCAGAATCGGTTTACGTCCCAAACGGTCCACGATCAGCGGCGTTGCACCACTAGCCAACACTTGCACAACTCCAACCAGAATGGTGGAAATTGCCGGGGACATACTGCTGCCGGTCTTGGCGAAGATCTTTTGGCTGTAGAACAGAATCACGTTAATCCCGGACAGCTGCTGGAAACTGATCAACCCAGCGCAGATGATCAACGCCTTGATGTTTCCCTTGCTTTTGAACAGATCCATCATGCTGGCCTTGTTCTTCATGGATTCCTCGACGGACTGGGTCGTTTCCTGCAGTTCATCCTGAACTCCGTCAGCCGATTTTCCCCGCAAGAATTTCAATGACTCGATGGCAGCGTCTTTGCGTCCCTTGGAGATGTAATAGGCGGGCGTTTCCGGCATAAAGAAGAACGCCGCTGCGAAGATGATGGGCAGTGCAAGGCAAGCCCACTGCAAGGCAGCGTAGCTTACGTATGGACCGATTGAGTAGACGTAGAGGATGCCCGCTGTGGATGAATTGGAGTCGGTTGATCAATTGATCTTACACTAGAGATTCGATTGAAGAAGGATACTCACAGACAATGCAAAGCTGCATGAGCGACCCCAGGGCTCCTCGGTATTCGTCGGTGGCAATTTCACCGATGTACATCGTCTGAACCGTCATGACGAATCCAACTCCGAAACCTTGGATCAATCGAGCGGCCAGCAGGACCCCTACTGATTTGGTGAATAGCAGCATTATCCAACTGAGGATGAAGAAGGCGGAACTTCCCAGGAGCGTTAGCTTGCGGCCGAAATGTTCCGCCAAGGGCCCAGCGATGAATGGAGCTGTGGGTGGTGGGGTTCAGTGTAATGAATTTACGAAGAGTATTAATGGCTATTACCAATAAGGGCACCCAGTGCCACCAAGGATCCGATCCATGAATCTTCCGCGGAGGTCGGTATGTCGTTCAGGGGGTTGACGCTGGTATCGTTGGAGCTGATTTTTGGACCAACCGGTGAGGTCCAGCCCAGGCAGGTGCCGAGGGCCACCGAGGCGAGGTTGACTGGAAATTTGAAAAGTGAAGGGAGAATGATGGTCTTTGTTATTGGTGTATTTTTTTCAGTTTATTTTTCGATAAATTTGAAAGGTGAGGAAGCTCGGAAATGGATGCATAAGTTGTTTTTTCCCTTGATTTGTTTTCCGTCGATCTTGTTTTCCGTGCTGAGCACCAATGCTACCGACGCCAGGGAGGCATCTCCCACACCTGGACCTTACCTAACGACCCATCAACTTATGCACCGGGGACCAACCGCTTTACTTCCCTTTCGAAGGAAGGCGTGAGGAGAAGTGGACGTCCTCTATCCACAAAATGCTATCAAAGGAGACGAACTTTTTGAATGGAGAGCAGTTTCAGGCAAAAATAGCCAAACAATGAACAAATATTAGATTTTCCCTCTCAGAATTCCTTGAAACTTCGCATAATTGTTCACTAGAGGGAATTGACCAAGTTTGTCCTAGAATTCGGCCATTTTGACTAACGCTTTTTTTCAAAATGGCTTATTTGATATTTTTCAATAAATCATAGCACAAAAATGGTTCATGTAATCGAAATGGCGTCTGAGACAAAGTTGTAGAAAATTGGTTTACCTTTTCAGAAAAAAATAAACACTGATAAAAATGACATATTCTCGTCACTATATCTACTATTTGAAAGCTTATCAAAAATGCTGACTTTTCTTAAATGGACAAAATGCCATTTTTTAACCTTTTTGAATCCAAGAAATCATATAATTATTTTAAAAACCAACTCAAATTACACAAAACCTTGAGGAAATCTGAAACTAGCAGCAATTCCATTTCGATTGAAAGCTGTTTCATCAAATTCAGTTTATTCTAATTAGGAAGGGATGTGGATGAAATTTATCCGTTTTGGGATGAAATTCATCTGCTACGAATTGCTGATATCCACTTCAAATGTTCTGCAAATTTGGAATACAAGTCATGGGCTATTCACGATGACCATGAACGGATACACCGTCTGCCGTTCGATGGAAATACTGCTCAATATCTCGGGATCATTTCTATATAGTGACTTCGAATCGTTCAGGATAGTTGGAGTATGAGTCAAGAGCCATCCAGTGTTGCCACGAATGATTTGAAATTCAGCCGGTAGAAAGAAACACTGCTCGAGTCAATATCTCGGTATCGTTTCAGGGTAGTGGCTTCAAATGTTTACCAAAGTTAGAAGCCATCCAGGTTTTCCACAAATGGTTCGGAATTAGGCTGTGATATGGCAACGTTGCTCCAGTAGAATCAAATAGAGGTCAACATCTCGGTTTTTCGTTTCAAAATAGTGACTTCGAATGTTATGCAAAGTTTGTGTATGTGTCAAGGGTCATCCAGGATTGGCATGAATTACTCGGAATGCTATCATTAGATGGCAACACTGCTCGGATATAATCAATTCAATCTCAATAACTCGGTATCGATTCTAAATAGCGACTTCGAATGCGGAGAATAGTTGGAGTCAAGCCAGCCAGAGTTGGCGCGAATGTTTTAAATTCTGGCAACACTGCTCGAGTAGAATTAAATATAACTCAATGTCACGGAATCGTTTCAAGGTAGGGACTTCAAATATCTACCAAAGTTAGAATATGAGTCACTTAGGAAAGGTCTGAATCACTTCCGGAAAGTTCGGAGTCATTTCTAAAAGGACTGAATCGTTTAATAAAATTTCGGAATCTCTTCGGAAAGCACTGAATTATTTCAGTTTGGGAACACTTGGGAAAGTACTGAGTCAGTACAGAAATTATTTCCATCATTTTGAAAAGTCCTTCATCACTTTAGAATTATTTTGAATCACTTCGGAAAGTATTGAACATGTTATGAAAAGTTGTGAATTACTGCAGAATTTACTTAATCACTTCAGAAAAGTTTGGAATCACTTCATAACATTTTGGAGTACGTTCCTAAAGTTAAAGTTGAAAAGTGCTGAATCATTTCAGAGCCGTTGGTCCCGGCCCATGTGTGTTGTGGATGGGTGCGATATCCTACGCAGGTGTGGAAGCTGCCTTCCTGCACATTCGATTGCCGTCAATGGATGGCAATCGATGTCCGTCGGTGATTGGTACTAGATTGCGGAACAGAGACCGACGTTAAATAAAGGAAAGAAGAAGAAGATGAATCATTTCAGAAAGTACTGAATCACTTCAGGAAAATTTGGAATCGCTTCGAAAAGTACTGAGTCAGTACAGAAATGATTTACATCATTTTGAAAATTCGTTCATCACTTTAGAATTGTTTTGAATGACTTTCGAAAGTACTGAACAAATTAGGAAAAGTTGTGAATTGCTTCAGAATTTACTGAACCTCTTCAGAAAAGTTTGGAATCACTTCATTAAATTTTGGAGAACGTTCGGAAGTACTGATCAGTTCATAAATGCACGGAATCACTTTGGAAAGTACTGCATCATTCCAAAAAAGTATGTACTTATTTCTGCAAGTTCTGAATCACTTCCGGAAAGTTTCAAATCACTTCGAAAAGTACTGCGTCACTATGGTTATTATTTCAATCATTTTGAAAAGTCCTACATCACTTCAGAATTGTTTTGAATCACTTCCGAAAGTACTGAACAACTTAGGAAAAGTTAAAAAAAAATTTCAGAATCACTTTAAAAAAGTTTGGAATCGCTCCATAAAAATTTTGGAGCACGTTTGGAAAAGTACTGATCAGTTCATAAATATTCTGAATCACTTTGGAAAGTACTGCATCATTCCAGAAAAGCGTATAATCCTTTCTGCATGTTCTGAATTACTTCAGAAGTATTCGGAATCACTTTAGATAGTACTGAAACAATCCAAAAAAAACGTTACCGCTTTGGAATGTACTGAATAATTCCAGAAAGTTTTTATCAATATCGCAAGTACTAAACCACTTGGTGAAAGTTTGGAATCTCTTCACAAATATCTGAATCATTTCAGAAATGTTTGGAATAACTGAACCACTTAAGAAAAGTTCGAAATCACTTCGGAAAGTACTGATCAGTTCAAAAAATGTTCGGAATTACTGTGGAAAGTACTGCCTCATTCCAGAAAAGTATGTAATCAATTCTGCAAGTAATCACTTCAGGAAATATCGGAATCACTTCGGAAAGTACTGAATCATTTCAGAAAGTACTGAATCACTTTAGGAAAGTTTGGAATCACTTCGAAAAGTACTGAGTCACTACAGAAATAATTTCAATGATTTTTAAAAGTCCTACATCACTTCAGAATTGTTTTGAATCACTTTAGAAAGTACTGAACAGCTTAGCAAAAGTTGTGAATTACTTCAAAAAATATTGAATCACTTCAGAAAAGTTTGGAATCGCTTCATAAAATTTTGGAATACGTTTGGGAAGTACTGATCAGTATATAAAGGTTTGGAATCACTTTGGAAAGTACTGCATCATTCCAGAAAAGTGTATAATCATTTCTGCAAGTTCTGAATCACTTCCAAAATTTTCGGAATCACTTCAGAAATGATTTCAATCGTTTTGAAAAGTCCTACATCACTCCAGAATTGTTTTGAATCACTTCGGAAAGTACTGAAAATCTGAGGAAAAGATTAGAATTACTTCAGAATTGACTGCATTACGTCAGAGAAGTTTGGAATCACTTCATAAAATGTCGGAGTACGGTCGAAAGTACTGATCAGTTCATAAAAGTTTGGAATCACTTTGGAAAGTACTGCATCATTCCAGAAAAGTATGTACTCATGTATGTAATTCTGAATTACTTCCAGAAAGTTCTGAATCATTTCAGAAAACACTCAATCATTTCAGAAAGTACAGAATCAGTTCAGAAATGATTTCAACCATTTTGAAAAGTCCTACATCACTTCATAATTGTTTTGAATTACTTCGGAAAGTACTGAACAAATTTAGAAAAGTTGGGAAGTGCTTCAGAATTTACTTAATCACTTCAGAAAAGTTTGGAATCACTTCAGAAAAGTTTGGAATCACTTCATACAATTTCGGAGTACGTTCGGAAGTACTGATCCGTTCATAAAAGTTTAGAATGACTTTGGAAAGTACTGCATCATTTCAGAAAAACATGTAATCATTTCTTCAAGTTCTGAATCACTTCAGGAAAGTTCTGAACCACTTCGAAAAGAAGTGAATCATTTCAGAAAGTACTGAATCACTTCACGAAAGTTTGTGATCACTTCGAAAAGTACTGAATCACTTCAGAAATGATTTCAATCATTTTGAAAAGTCCTGCATCACTTCAGAATTGTTTTGAATCACTTTAGACAGTACTGAACAACTTAGGAAAAGTACTGAACATCTTAGGAAAAGTTGAGAATTACTTCAGAATTTACTGCATCACGTCAGAGAAGTTTGGAATCACTTTATACAATTTCGGAGTGCGTTCGGAAGTACTGAATCAGTTCATAAATGTTCGGAATCACTTTAAAAAGTACTTCATCATTCCAGAAAAGTATGTAATCAATCCTGCAAGTTCTTAATCACTTCCGGAAAGTTCGGAATCATTTCAGAACGTACTGAATCACTCCAGGAATGTTTGGGATCACTTCGGAAAGTACAGAATCAGTTCAGACATAATTTCAACCATTTTGAAAAGTCCTACATCACTTCAGAATTGTTTTGAATTACTTCGGAAAGTACTGAACAAATTTTTAAAAGTCCGGAAGTACTTCAGAATTTACTTAATCACTTCAGAAAAGTTGGGAATCACTTCATAAGACTTTGGAAAGTACTGCATTATTCCCGAAAAACATGTAATCATTTCTTCAAGTTTTGAATCACTTCAGGAATGTTCTGAACCACTTCGAAGAGTACTGAATCATTTCAGAAAGTACTGAATCACTTCAGGAAAGTTTGTGATCACTTCAGAAAGTACTGAATCACTTCAGAAATGATTTCAACCAATTTGAAAAGTTCTGCCTCACTTCAGAATTGTTTTTAATCACTTTAGACAGTACTGAACAACTTAGGAAAAGTACTGAACATCTTAGGAAAAGTTGAGAATTACTTCAGAATTTACTGAATCACGTCAGAGAAGTTTGGAATCATTTCATAGAAGTTCGTTCTCTAAACCACGTAAGAAAAGCTCGAAATCACTTCGTAAAGTACTGAATCGGTTCATAAATGTTTGGAATCACTTTGGAGAGTACTGAATCATTCCATAAAAGCATGTAATCACTTCTGCGAGTTCTGAATCACTTCGGAGATAACTGAACAAATTTGGGAATGTTTTTAATCGCTTCAGAAAGTTCTGGATCACTTAAGAGAAGTTCGGAATATTTTTAGATAGTACTGAATAATTACAGAAAATTTCCTTATCACTTTATAAAGAACTGAATCATTCTAGAAAGTTTTGTTCACTTTCACAAGTACTAAATCACTTCATATAAGTTTGGAATCACTTCAAAATATCTGAATCTTTTAAGAAAAGTACGGAATCTCTGAACCATTTAAGAAAAATTCGAAACCACTTGCAAAAGAACTAAATCAATTCATAAGTAAGGGAATCAGTTCTTTTGCAAAATGAATCCAAACTTTTTTAAAGTGGTTTAGTACTTCCCGAAATGATTTTGAACTTTTCTGGAATGATTCAGTACTTTTCGAAGTAATTCCGCAGTAGCTCTTTCCTTTATACAGTGAAAAAAAAATCATCCATATATTTCCTCAAAATCATTATTTTAAAAAAACTACGTTTTTTTCCTCTAGAAAAGCTAATTGAATAACGTACAACTTGTCCAAACATTGCCAGTTGGGCACTATTATAGATATTTTTTTTCATAGTAGCATGCACATTTCATCTCAAAGCGTCTATGCCCAACAAATAATTTGAGCTGATTAAAGGCTGAATAAGCCATTTCTTCAATGAAGAAGCATATGTTTGCACTTATTCTGTTTCCACTGTTAGGTACCCTCTCAGATTCAAACTAAACTTAGGGCAAAGTAAATAGACTTAAATTCAATAAATCTGCCTTAAACGAAAAAAAAAATGCTTGGATAGGATAATATGCCCAAATTACGTTCCGCGATTCTACACTAATCACTTCTCACTTTTGTTTTTGAACGTCATCTGATTTGCAATGATTTAAGCTTTGAAATAAAAAGTTTGACACAGTAACTCCTACAACAAACAACACTCACCTGTGACTCCAGCCAGAAACTGCCGTGATGGAGTTCCCTTTTCCATCCTGTAATTTTCTTTCTCGTACTTCTCGAAAGTTGCCACTGGTTGATAGTTGAGCTCAGCTGGATTCATTTAATACGACGGAATCCCTGTTTTTTTTTTGTTCACAGAAAGAGAAAAGAAATCATCGGAAGGGCATCAGTTTGGCTGTCACACAAAGCACTTATGTTAAACAGTCTGCAGTTGCAATCGAAAATCAAAAAATGTTCAAATTTTCCACTCAAGCACACTCACTTTACGATTCTTTCCGGTTGAAAAAAAAAAACAAGACTCAAGGGTAATATTCCACTGATTTTCTTAGGAAAATTCCACACAAACACCGTTTGCAATCCAATAATAGGCCTGGGCAGTAAAATCACCGCGCGGGCACACGGTGCCACGTTTGAATCGATTGATTGGAAGTCACTGAATGGCTGCTCCTCGAAGGGCAGCGTCTTAAATATCTTAAGCGTCCACCACCACCCTTGCAAGAACCAATCACTGCTCACCCACCAGCAATCCAGTGGGTCCGGAGGTCCCCTCAACCGCCTTGCCATTCTCAAGTGGCAAGCGTGGCCAGTCGGCGAGGGAGTGACTTCTCCAAAGTGGTATACAGTAGAATTTGGTCATTTCAAGAGCCACTTCAAACTAAGTCGAGCGCATGTGCTTTTTCTTTTTCTTCTTTGTTCGTTTATTTAACGTCGGTCTCTGATTCGCAATCTAAGGCCAATCAGTGACGATTGCCGTCTATTCAATGACGAGGGACTCTCGGGTAGATATCGTGTTTATGGGCTTTACTTCCTTCCGAAGGAAGACGTGATCAGAGATGTTTTCGCCTCAGAAAAGTCCCAACGATCTCGGCTGGGATTGAACCCAGACACACTGGGGCGAGAAAGCCGTCACGCTTGCCACTACAACACAGGGGTCGTCGTCACATTTGACTTTTGTCGTGTACAATCCGCCATCGACAACAAACATCGCTTATCTGTTACACTGACAACAGTGCGAAATCTACCGCCGCTGGCACCTAGCCTGATGATGGACACGAAGATGGCGACTGTAAGAATACATATTTCGCAAATGTGTAAACGACGAAACATAAACAAACCAATGTGTAAGGAATCATACAGCAAACGAGTAGCGGAATCCACTTCAGCAGGATTCCGTTTCGATTGCCGATGAGAACTACCGCCACTATCTGATATCGAAGGTTTCAAGAGGGTGAGACTACGCACCCCTCGTCATCATTCTAAGGTGGCTTAACTTGTTTATTACGATTCGGTTTCCTGAGGAAAACTGGTTTACGAAAACGTCAACGAAAGTGCTCCAACCCGAATGACGTCCATGACAGTCATCAGTGATCAGATGCGGAGAGCGTGATCGCGTGAATAACCACCCCTTTCAGCAAAGCAAATAGACTAGCTGGATCCATTGGAATACTAACCAGTATCGGGGCGTGATCATTCGCGCCAAGTCCTCACCGTTCACCGTTCAAAGAAAAACTGAATCCAGTGTCGACCAATTTCAACCTTCAAGATTGCCCGGACCATCCACCGCCAAAGGGTAATCTTGTAAATATTTAAATTAACTAGCTATTCTTCCCCATCAATCACACACACTTCCCGAGTAATTCCGTAACCCCATCCGTCCCCGGTTCGATACTTTCCGCCCGTGACATTTCAACCGCTTGCTCGTACCACCAACTGTACCTACACACATATGTATGTGCAGAATATAAATTCAAACATTAAATTTGCTTCCAAATCGCCCGACACGCGACAGCTTCCTTATAAACAAATCCAATGTCATACAGCGGCGCTCAGTGTCAGTCAGCAGTACCCCATCCGAATACGTGATCTGCCCACCTAATAACAATAAACAGACTAATTAAAACCGCGTGTCGTCCAGCGAGCGGTAGTCCGCTCCTGCAGCTCAAAATTCGTGCGAGCCATTTCTGGTTACCATCAATTAGACGGAAGCAACCCATTGAAACATTCCAGCTCCAACACTTTGGATTGTTTGATCCTATGCAGTCTTCGGCATTCTAAGTAGGCCGAGACAAGAAATGTCAAAAAATCGATTCTAAATTGTGACAACGCGTAAGAACGGGTGCTTCAATTGGTGCAGTGCAACGGTGGGCGACACGTGAGTTTAGAGATGACTTTTTTTTTTCCATTCGATGATACAGCGCCATCATCACGATGATCAAAACGCTGCAAGAGTGCGATAAATTAAGTGCACCGGCAACAAAGGTGTGCACCATTAAATGGTAAACACAAGTGGATTGCTAGTTGCGGAAATTGACGCATCTTTTGTTCGAGGAATTTTGAATAACCCCATCCCCATCAAAGCGTGGCAACAGTGAAGTATGGGGCGTCAACTGTCAACTTTTTCGCTGCCAAAGGACTGCTCTAGGTCACCCTTCATAAATTATTGAAAATTCTAGCGACTCAACCCAAGCAGAGAAAGTCATTTGTTTACCATTTGTCTCACATCAACATCATCAGGCCAGGTCAGTAGGCGGTGGCAGCGCAATGCAATCAGTGTAGCGGTCTGGTCGGTCGATAAGCATGCGAATGTCTCATATTTCAATGGGAGGAAGCAATTTGTGATAAACTTCAAGCTTAGTGTCAACCTGAAGTGAAAAATACTACAAACTAGATTTAATGAGCTTCGACAATGCAACAGACGGCGCTGGTGGTGTAGTGCTAAGCGTGGCTGCTTTCTCACCAGAATCTCTGTACACGGCCAATGAGAACGACCCAGCTTTGAGTTTTGTTCACTCATAATCGCCAAATGTGCAGAACATCTAAAAAATCTGCTGGAAAATCAGGAAAATTGACGAAAATTTTACTCAGTTCAGGAGTAGTACCAATAGACTGAGTGAATTCAACCTTTACATTTCTCATCTTCGGGAATTTGCTCCTGGGCAAACCTGGAGAAACCTGGAAAAACATGAGGCAAATTTACTCATCGCTGAGTTCCTGCACTTTTATTCGATTGATGAGTTCACTGAACTCAAATTTGGGTCGTTCTCATTGGCCGTGTAAAGAGTTACGTCAAGAGAAAAACAGTGGATCCCGCATCACCGTTTTCGAAAGGTTTCCTTCCCTTTCACTTGGCAACTAAGGACTTCTGCATCAACTTCAAGAAACCAAATTAGCTGCTGTAGTAAATGATTATAAGAGTGATTTTGTCGAATTATCTTAACAACAAATCTAGATAGAGCTGGAATTAGGGAGTAACAGCTTTTGTAAACAATGACTTCTATCGATGATTTCTAGGAACTCAAGGCACGTCCACGCAGACCAACACAACCATCGGATAGGGGAAGACTTAGTCTTTCCCTACCTGATGAGGATGTTGGTTTACGTGGGCGAGCCTTGAATTTCTAGAAATCATCGATAGAAGTCATTGTTTACAAAAGCTGTTAGGCCCTAATTCCAGTTCTATCTAGAAATATTACAAATTCTCATAACTGATCATTACCAAACGCATCCCATAACAATTTAAAGTCGCCTCCCTTGCCATTTGATGTCCGGTAAGGATTGCCGTTAATGAATGGTAAACGACAGCGGCGCCGGTGGTGTAGTGGTAAGCGCTATTACCTCTCACCCCAGCAGCCCTGGGTTCAATCCCAGTCGGCGCCGCCGGGATGTTCTGAGGCATAACATCTCTGATCACGCCTTCCTCTTCGGAAGGGAAGTAAAGTCGTTGGTCCCCGGCTCATGAGTTGATGGATCGATAGGTAGGGAACAGGTGTGGGAGCTGCCTCCCTGGCATCGGTAGCATTGGTGCTCAGCACAGAAAACAAGATCGACGGAAAACAAATCAAGGAAAAAAGAAATGAGTGGCAATCGATGTCTGTAGGTAATTGGCGCTTGATTGCGGAATAGAGACCGACGTTAAGTAATGAAATCAAGAAGGAGACAATTGAACAACATTTGTTATCGTTATCTTTATCAATGTTATGACAGCGCCATCTGCGAACGTATTGAGATAAATGTCTAATCGTCGAAAATCCAAGTTGATGAAAATCATTTAACTGTCTCTCTCTATGCATTTGGACGAGGAAAATCTTCCCACCTTGCCCAACTTGCACTGTACCCTACTGTACTACATAAATGGTATAAATCCGTTCATTTGACACTGATACTTAGTCTAATTATACAGTAATTTAAATCTCATTAGCGTTCTGATCTTTTCATCGCATGGATTGAAATGGCACCGTCAGTTCTTAGCTGATCTCAGCAAACAACAGTTTGACAGATGATGTTTTTTCATTTCAATTTATGACGGTTAAAACGCCATGTCTACAAAATAGACAAAATACATCTTTCGTTTTGGCATGTTGACAGGTTCTCGTCAATGCGGCGATCAATTTTTAATATAAAGCAACCATATGAAAGGTATATGAATCTTTACTGTTGAATGGAATTGATAGAGACCCAACAAACAATTTGAGTTGATCAACAGCTGAATAAGCATTTTTTTTTTTGCGGAAGAAGCTTATTTTTGTCTGAATAAGCTCTTATTCAACATTCAATGTTTGTTGGGGAATCGATTGGAAATGTGGATGGCCAATCAGAACAGGGAAAACCCCATAAGTACCCCGAGCAAAATGTACTGGGTGAGACTCCACAGGTTCATTGTGATTCATCAGGAAAAAGGCCAATTTGTGTACTCTATGATCTATTTTTTCTTCAAATTTATGCAATCACGACGTTCTTCTTCCTGATTTGGACGCTCTTAAATCTTTTGACACCCTAATTCAGGCAACAAAACGGTGCACTTGGCTGAAACCTCTGACATGGTGGGCAGTTTATTTCAAAAGTACATCAGTAGGTGCGCTGATCATTGATTTACCTCAATCCCAATGGTTCTGACCATCTGGACAATTTCCGTCTTCGGAAAAAAAATGATCAGTTTAGTGAGACCTTTTATATTCGAAATAACGTGCCTGCGGTTATTTAGGTGACTTTTTACTTTAGTGTTGATTTTGACAATTTAAAGTAGTTAGCTGGCGTTGTCGACGATTTCGGTGAAGATTTCCGATACTGCCAACGAAAGTTCCAGAAGATTTCCGCGGAATACTCAAACGATGTCTACGGAGAAGGTTCCATTCAATTTAGGTGGAGATGGTCGACGCTGTCAATGAAAGTTCCAGTGGATTTTTCTAAATTCTCCAAATCACTGGAACCACTTAATTGGCAGCATCGAGGGCAGCATCGAAAATCTCCAATCTACTGGAACCTGTTCCGGCGAAAGTTCCGAAAAATCCACCGGAACTTTCGTTGGCAGCATAGAAAATCTCCAACGGAATTAACTTTAACCGGCTCCGTCGTGAACTCAGACAAATCCTCCAGAACTTTTGTTGTTATCTTAAGAAATCTCCACCAGGACATCCACCAGAGCTCCAGTCTACTGCTACTACTTCTAGGTTGAGCAAAATTTTCATCAATTTTTCTCATTTTCCGGCAGATTTTTGAGGGATCAGTCAGTCAGCACATTGTGCCGAAATTATATTTGGCACAGTTTGGGCACATCCATCAGTACACCTTTGGCACAATCTCGTAGGCATTGGATTGTTGTTAATAAAATGGGAGCACTGCTGGACAATTGTTAACTGTCATTGAATATTCAGTAACATCCTCTAATTGCATATACCAGAGGAACTCAGACCAACAGTTCACTTATAGATCTAAATACGAAATGTAGGTTCTAGAGTGGGCTCAAAAGAAAGAGGCAGTTAAGCAGACCCTATTAGTACAACCAATTCAAATAATGCTGCAACTCACACAAAACAAACTAGAGAAGTCTATTCATCATCCTCTATAGTCGGTATCCAGCAATGTTCCAACACTTTCCGGCCACTGATAGACCGTTGCTTTTCACATCACGAAAGGTTAGGTTTCTGGTCTGCCTTTGAGGGCATTATTAAAAACCCTAAAACACAGGAATTTTATTATCCTTGCGATTTCAAACCAAAACATTCAAGGTGTCAGAAATACCACGTTGCCGGGATGGGTATTTTACAAATATTCGCAGCTTGCTCACAATCGGCACACCTGCGACACACTAATAAAAAAGATGACCCAAGATTGGTGTGCGGAGTGACCTACCCCTAGGAAAATTTACTCATCGCTGACTTACTCCACTTTTTACGATTTAAAGGTTAAAGGTATTGCAATAAAATATAAAATATAATCGAAGAAATGATCATAAATACGCAGTGAGCATTAACTTGTCATGGGATACGTTTAGTAATGACCAGTAATGAGAATTTCTACTAATTTTTGTTAAGATAATATGACACAATCACTGATATAATGATTTACTACAGCCGCTATTATTTTTTCTCGCTAGAAGTCATTTGAAGTTGATGTAGAAGTCCTCTGTTGCCAAGTTAAAAGAAAGGGAATCTTTCGAAAACCGTGATGCGAGTTCAACTTTTTTTTTCTCTTGGCGTGACTCATTATACACCGACTCTAATACAGACTATTGAAAAAATCATCTGGCATCCCTGCAGAAAGTAGTGGCCAGTGGCGAAGATAGCGACAAGGTGGTAAGTGCACGGGAGCGTTAGGAAAATTGTGCCACCTCAGAATCAGTACCGGGAATTTCCGACACCCAGGAAGCGAAAGAGAATTTGATTTACAATACAAGGCCAAAGGATTCCGGGAGGAGCATATGATATGACATGGAAGCTTCCTATCTTGACTTCCCTCAAGAGCTGGGACTTCCAAGGATGTATGTTTAACTACGTAGAAAACTTTCTACAGAACCGTAGGTTCCGAGTATTGAACGCTGGCGCAACCTCTACCTCGAGGTTGCTGGAGAATGGCATCCCGCAAGGGTCTGTCCTTTCGGTTACACTGTTTCTCATTGCGATGAACTCAGTGTTTGAACGCATTCCCAAGGAAGTATACATCATTGTATACGCCGATGATATTACCCTTATCGTGTTAGGTAAATACGGTAGGGTGGTTAGGCACAAGATGCAGGATGCAGTTCAGTCTGTCGTTGACTGGGCAGATGGTGTTGGGTTTGTGATTTCCCCCGAGAAGTCCAAACTGCTGCACGTCTGCTTTGGGCATCATCACAGACCGAACCTGCCTTATGTTAGTATCGGTGAGCATGCGGTCAAGGCCGTACGCGAGATGAAACTGCTTGGTGTGACTATTGATAACAAACTCCGATTTGTTAAGCACGCCAAGTTGGTGAAGGATAACGTCAACAACAAGTTGAATATCCTTCGGACCCTAAATGGTCGCTTCTCTGAAGCCTCTCGTAGTACATTGACCAAGGTTGCTAGGGCTCTGGTTGTCCCTAGCATCCTTTACGGGGCGGAACTGTGGAGCAGGGGTGGTGTCTCCCTGCTCAATATCCTGGAACCTCAGTACAATGAGGCGTACAGAATCTGTAGCGGAGCGCTGAGGTCTTCACCAATAGCTTCCATACATATCGATTAAAGATCCTAAATTTATAAAGAGGCGACATGTCAAAATTGGAACAATCGATTGTCTGTCAAAGTCATAGGAAAAGTCATTCCAATCGAGCAGAAGACCTTTCAAATGGATAAGATGTCGTCTCTTTATAAATTCAGGCTCTTTAAGGTGATACTCTAAGGAAGCCTTAGCGTGAAACTTTAAATTTTAATATTATCTGAAATTTGTTCATTGTAGTGCTGTTACAGGTTGTATTGGTTATCAAAAACAACAGCAGACGCACCGAGAAATGTTAATCCAAGCGAGTTATTAATAAAAGAGAAAATCGATCATCGCGGTTACGTCTTTATGTATGCTCACTGTCGAATTTGTAATATGTGATAGATATGGAAGTCACTTTTTCCCACCTCAAAAACGCCTCGTGTTCTTATGACAAATTATACATGTGCGTCTACAAAACGCGAACGAAATCTTAAAAAAAAACAGCTTTATTTAGTTTTTTTTTTTTGCTCAATCGGTAGATAAAAGATGTACCGAGAACCTATTGGAGGGATTTATACCTAATCGAGATCATCCCGATCAACACTACGAAATGTTGCATAACATTGGTGCGAACTTGTGCGGTCCGTTTTTGTGTGTGCATTCTTTTTGTTAGCATTTTGAAGTTGAATCGCTGAGGAAACCTTATTTCTGATCAATGTCAGTACCACATAAAAATTTCAACTCTCACGAAACTTATAACAAAGAAACTGGAACTTCACGTTTGCTGCAGTGCAGTACACAAGGAGTTTCAATTTCATGAGTTATGGCACAACCGTCCAAGATTTATACCCTAGAAAGCTTGAAGTGATAGGGAATATCAGCCATCATGACGGTCATTGTTGGACGCTTCAATGAGTCACCTGAAGAAAGCCTTAGGCCGCGGCCAGGGTAGACGCGACACGCGACGCGATGCGACTCACGCAAGAAATAATAATAAGATTCCTTTGAATTGGTCGCGTCACATCGCGAATCGCGTCTACCCTGGCCGCCACCTTAGGCCGCGGCCAGGGTAGACGCGATTCGCGAAACGACGCGACCAATTCAAAAGAATCTTATTATTTATTATTATTCCTTGCGTGAGTCGCATCGCGTCGCGTCGCGTTTCGCGTCTACCCTGGCCACGGCCTTACTCATATCTGATTGTAATTTAGGAATCAAATGTAATAGAATGTGGATTCGCATTGTTATGATGCTTTTCATGATGCTTCGTTCAACTAAATATGGTATCAGTTTAAACTTATTTCAATTACCTGAAGTAATCCATTTTGCTTTTCAATCACAAACCGTATGAAATCTAAGTTCAGTTATATTCAGTCTAAGGTCAAAATGTTCCACAATTTTCAGCACACACTTATTTATGGTTCAACTGGTTCCACTCACAATCACAAACTGTTCATATTTATGCAAATTCCACCAACATTCCGTTATCAATTGTTATCACAGTGCTATACAACTCGCATTTCTCTTCATTTGACTCGTGTAAGTAGTACCATTCACAAACAATTTCTTCGCACTTTCAACCCCTTACATCTACTGTAGTGCTATCCAAAGCGACCTCCTTTCCGCCAAATGTCCACTGCGGAACTAAAGTCGCATTGCATCAGGTATCGAAAACGAAACCAACCAACACACCTGGAGACCTCTAGTTCTAGCTTAGCCTCAGTATAACAATTTGCTTGCTCAGCTGACGGTCAGTTCTAGAGATGATCTGCAGCGCGGTGGATTCCAACAAGCACCACTGCCCGATGGAAGAGATGCAAATTCTCTCACGAGCAACGTGCTGCTACGGATAAATGGATCTGTCCGATAATGTCAGTTCCGAGGTGGAACAGTTTAGAACAAAACTATGGAAGTAGCGTCCGTTTGTCTGTGGTCATTTTGCATAGGCGATTTTAGTGTGTCTATGGAAACGTGCGACGCATAACAGTTTATTCAAATGTATTTACTTCAATTGTTTGGAATTGTTCATCGGAAAGAGCAGCGGATTTCTACTTCTGATGTTCTAATCCAAACAACAGATTGATTTTATAAATACTTCCTAGATTTCTTGAAACAAAAATAAAAATTGCACTTTCGCTGGAGTTGACCTTAATCCTTTAACGATTGCTTGAGGTGATACATGCCTCACAGGCTCTTGGCTATGGGAAATAAGTATGCAACGTTTTTGCTTGTTGATTGCATTATGGCACGTGCTTCCGGATGACAATGCTCGCTCAATTTGTTCTCTCATATCCGCCTTCTCTCACGCTCATGTAGAAAAATAGTCGTTGTTGTTGCGGCTTGTTCCAATCCCAGCTGGACTGCATAACAGAGCTCAAACAGCACACATTAAGAGGACAATCCAAAGTGTAATATTGCTACAGATGGCTTTGTAGCAACGCATTCCGTGTAGAAATTTTTACATCAATAATAATATTTATTACCACTGCACATTTTCAAATCATTGCATTGTAAAAACATTGCTTTTTCAACCAAAAAATAACACATTTTCATACATTTCCTTCCATTTTTACTACCATTCTTCCATGGGTTGGACACGTAGGTAGTTTCCGAGAGTGATGTCACAGGAGTGGAACTTCGAACTAATGATCGCGCGCAAGTTGGCACCTAGCCAAGGAACACATTTTAATGTTTTTCCAATATGAGAGTATCAGATTTGAAAAACTCGTCTAAAAGTTACAACACAATCAAGTGCACAACGAGTGCGACCTATCATTATTAATTTTCTATGGATGCAATTTCTAAACTTTCCATAGTTATTAGTCAAATGAGCCGTAATCCTGACAAACTTGTTCATTGATTTTGACGTAGGACTACGTCTTTCTGGATTATACTGAGGTGCAAATCTAAAAATTGTGTAACGAAATAGTGTTAGGTTTTAAACGCTTATAAACTCGGCCAATAATTGATGAATTTCAATTCTTTTCACACCCTTTGATTTAGAATCAATGTATTTTTTTTATTATTTGAAGATTACACTCAGGTCTTTTTTTACACGGGGGATATGTACCGTGTACAAAAAAACCTACGAGATTTTTTTTTTCACATGCTTAAATGTTTTTAGATAATCGGAATTTCATACCATTTGTAATAAAAGCATGCTATGGTCCATATTTATTATTATTATAGTCCATCTGACTTGATAGTCTCAATGAAACACTTAAATCTAAATGTAGTCACTCATTAAAAATTAAAAATTGGCCAACAGCAAACGATGACGAAACATCGAGGCATTGATGTCAAAGTCAAATAGGTCAGAGGCTTCGTTGAATTGATGAATCATGGCGACAAAGGAACTGTTTGCAGCATAGTTGGTTGCATGTACTACTTCATGTAGCAAGGTTCTCGGACGGAGTGTTCGGGCAGGAGCATACAGATTAATTTTGGCCAGTAACTCAGGAACATCATATTCTGCGAGTAAAACTTTAGCAACGAAGACGACCTGCGATATGTTTCGTCGCCTAGCAAGAGTATCCAAACCCAGTAAACGACAGCGGTCAGCATACGGTGGTAAATTCAGCGGGTCACTCCATGGAAGATAGCGCAGTGCGTATTTGACGAATTTGCGTTGAACAGCTTCGAATCGTCCACTTCATACAGCTTGGTAGGGATTCCAGACTACACTCGCGAATTCCAGTAGTGAGCGTACCAATGAACAGTAAAGGGCTTTAAAACACAGAGGATCACGAAATTCCTTAGATATCTTGAACACGAATCCAAGCTGTCGATTAGCTTTGTCGATCGTGGTTGAGAAGTGGCGAGTGTATGTGAGCTTTTCATCCAACATGACACCGAGGTCTTTAACGTGATCGACACGTTGAACTGCAGTTCCAGCAACGTTATAATCAAACAAAATGGCAATCCTAGTTCGACGGAAACTAATTACGCAGCACTTTGAGACGCACAGGACCATAAAATTACGTTCACACCAATCATTAAAGATTTCAAGAAGGTTTTGTAGTTCTAAACAGTCGGCATAGCCTCGAACGACTAGATAAATCTTCAAGTCATCGGCAAAAAACAATTTACCTCCTCGTAGTAGAATAAACGTTACATCGTTCACAAATAAAGAGAAGAGCATTGGTCCCAAAGTGCTACCCTGTGGAACTCCTGATCTGTTCGAGAAACAGTACGATGAGTACTTTCCAATGCATACAGTAACTTCACGTTGCACGAGGTACGATCTAAGCCAGCTGCAGAAGGAAACAGAACATCCAATTTTTCCAAGCTTTGCTAGCAGAACGTCGTGCACAACTCTATCAAACGCAGCTTTAAGATCAGTGTAGATGGCATCCACTTGAAGTTTCTTGCATACATTTTCCATACAGAACGACGTAAAGCTGACGAGATTCGTTTCCACGGAGCGGCCAGGAAAGAAACCATGTTGACATGTACTTATGTAATACTTACAGGAAGCAAACAATCTCTCATTTATCAGCGACTCAAACAACTTAGATTCAACCCCAAGCGAGGTAATCCCACGGTAGTTTTCCACATTGCGTTTGTCTCCTTTCTTGAAAACAGGGAACATAGTAGACCGTTTCCATAGTTTGGGAAATTTCTGTTGGCGAAGTGACAGGTTGAAGAGCAAGGACAACGGAGCAGCTAAGATATCGGAGCATTTTTTTATGACTGCAGATGGAATAACACTCGGACCTGGTGAAAATGATGATTTGGTTTTACTCATCACAGAGAGAACCATTTGTACATCTACGGCAAAAACATCCATGTTTACGACGTCGGTTGGCACATCACGGACGGCTCGCTCAATTTCTGCTTGCGATGGGGAGTCATTCGAGAAGACGCTTAAGAAGTGCCTAGCAAATAGGCTGCATTTGTCCTCGGTTGTCAATGCTACGTCATTGCCGAGAAACATTTTTGACGGCAGTCCAGTTTCCTTCCTCTTAGTATTCACAAACGACCAGAATCCCTTGGGGTGGCATTGCAGATTATGTTGAGTACGGAGGAGAGCTCTAGATCGCACTCGTTTCAGGTTGCGGAGAGTAGCGTTAGACCAAGGCGGTTTTCTTGGAGGTTGGCACTTCGGTACTGAAGCACAAACACAGTCGCGCAAAAGGCTATTATATCGAGCGGCTGCTGTATCGATATCAAGGTCATTCAACACGTTCCAGTTGATCCGGGACAAGGAACGTCTCAGCAAACGGAAATCAGTCTTCCGGAAATTGAGCCGAGTGGCAGTCATGGTTTCATCAAAACGAATTTGAGATCCGTTCGCGATAGATATATCCAAAGCAGGGTGGAAATTGTCAAGAGGAACGATGACATCAGGCGCTTCAACTACGACACAGTCCAGAAGTGCATTTTCGCTAACAAAAACCAAGTCAAGAAAACGAGACTGGAAATTGGGAACAAGGTTTATCTGGCTCAGTCCATGAAAAGCCGTGCCGTCAACAAGCAAGCGGCTGGCAGGAGTAGTTGAAGATGCAATCGGATCTGGATACGCATAACCCTGGCCTGAGGGTGACCAGCTAAGCCCAGGCTGATTAAAATCACCAAGCAGAAGAGGCACATCCGTTATATCAGCCATGGACGATGCAAATTCTGTAGCATCCAGATGAAGCTGCATTGTGGTGCAGTCATGTCGACGTTCAGGGGGAATATACACCGCTCCAATGAGGATGTCCCGCGAAGTGAGGTTGACCTTAACCCAAACCGCTTCAATTGTAGTAAATAGTTCGTTGGAGATTACGCAGGAGGCGAATTCGTTGGAAACAGCGATGAGCACACCACCACCGCGAGTACGAATGCTGTTGGATGAATTACGGTCTAATCTGTAGACAGTAAAAGAGTCACCAAACAGTTGCACTGAATTGATCCTCCCATCGAGCCAAGTTTCCGTGAATACATAAACGTCATATTACCCGTCAAGCGCAGCCAGAAAAACATCGTCCAATTTAGTCATGAGCCCCCTGGTGTTCTGATAGTAGACACGTAAACCGCTAGAGGGTTCGGTGCGAGCCGTGTCAATGATAACTTGTCCAGGATCCGCACGAGAGAACGGTGAACTATCAGGCAGCGAAAGATCACCTGACGTAGAAAGGCTCGAAGTGGTGGCCATAAGCGAAGATGAACTGAAACGAAGTGGCGGATCAACAGTTGAATTCACATGGACGAGTTCATACTTGCCGTAAACGAGTGGTTGGAAGACCCCTTCACCAGGCCCACACACAGGGCCGGGACGGCTGCAGGTCGCTGGCGGGAATGGCTCGACTGTGGCGGGGGGCTCGGGGGCTTCCATGATGCCAACGGCAGTGCGTCCCAGTAAACAAACAGAAGTTGATTCATCATAATGGTGTAAGTCGTCAATCTTCGGCAGGACTAGATCAGAGGATCTGAATGCTTCTTCCGGTGAATTTTCTGTGGAGCGTCTCGGCTTCTGGTATGGGGGGCTGGTATACTGTTAATGTTATCTTCAGACCACAATTGTCGAGGAGCAGACATATACAATGGCACTCTGGAAACCAAGAATTTTTCAGACAGAGCAGTTGTTGCTTGCTGATTATACTTGCCTACAGTGGAGTTTGGAAGACCCCCTCTCCTAACTCAAACGCAGGGCTGGGACGACTGTTGAACGCTGGCAGCATAGGCTCGACTGCGATGATAGGATCAGGGGCTTCCACAAGGCTAGTTGCAAGTGTGCGTCCGAGTGTCGAGTTGA